AGGCTCATGTATTTAAGCTATGTACACCAACGGTGATGAGGCACGGGTCATAAAATCGACGTTGAATGATAAAGCTTAAAATTCAAACGCGCCCATTAAATACTCGTATTCTCTCTCTGACACCCGACTCTCTGTCTCCTCATGTTTAGTGGCGCACGTTGTATACAAGGCACATTGTTTCTCTTTGCCCAAGTTTCCTCTTTCTCTCTCCCCATCAACCAGAGTAAAACGTCTTTTTCTATGCCCTGCCGCTCCTCCTCTTTCTCGCCCCCTCCCCCAACACGAGCATCTTACTCTCCATCTCTGTATTGCCTTCAAAGACTAAAATTATTTAGAAAATGACATCAACAACCCATCTAGGTAGACAAGACTAAACTTGTCGTATAGAAAGTGAGAAAGGGATGATGTATCCTTTTTATATTATTTCTAGTGTTTCAAAACTTGGATCGGTGGAGCAGATCATTTACTCATATCTGTGTCGGATTGTTGGATTGTTTGATTGTGATCCAAATCAGATCAGAATCAGTGATCTAAAACTATTTAAAAAGTACGTGAAAAAATGTTAAAATTAAAATAAGAGTTTATGCGATGGGGATTAAGAATGAACCAAAAAAACATTCGACAAGTTCAAAAAAAAAAAAATGGAAATAAAAATATGTAACGGGGGTTTTAGGGTGGAATAGGTCCGAGACCTATATCATTCTAGAATTGGTTCGATCCTAATCCATATCCAATGAAATCGGCGATCTGGAACAGAAATTGTTAGGTTTTAAAACACTGGATTTTTTACGAGGGCGCCTGTGATCAGGTATCTACTGGGCATGCCTTAAATGCAAAGTATATTATGGATCCATATGACCACAAAATACCCATGCTCCATCTGTCATGATCACCCTCCACTCATTGGACTTGTGAATGAAATTCGAGTCGTATCACTTGGATTAGGGAATGGTATGGTGGTTCCCTTTCTTGCCATCAACTATGAATTAATTGGATGAGAATTTTCACTGTAGATTTTTGAATGATGATATGAGGTGATACACAGATGGGGAGGAAGATGCTCGTGTTGGGGGAGGGGGAGGAGAGAAAGCGGACCGGCAGGGCTTAGCAAAAGAGGTTTTACTCATGAGGAGAGAGAGAAACCTTGGGCAAAGAGTGAGAATGTGTCTCGTATACAACATGTCCCATTAAACATGAGGAGATTCACCGTTGATTTTATGACCTGTGCCTCATCACTGTTGGTGTACATAACTTAAATACACGAGCCTGTGCATCTTATTTTTTTCCTATATATATATATATATATATAGAATAGATGCTGTCAGCCCATGGGCTGATTGCTACAGTATTAGCCAATGGTTCAGATTGAATCTGGATCGATCTGACGGTCACGACGTTATTTCGTATATCAACTTTCATTTTTCTTTTTACAAATCTTAATCACTTGAAAATTTAGACGTACATTCTATTCAACTTTCATTTTTCTTTTTACGAATTATTTTTTTTATATTTTTATTAGATTCTAATATTTTTTAAGAATAGATGTTCAAAATTTCAATATTTGGATTTGTATAAAAAAAATAAAAATTTAAATACAAAATGAGGTCGTGACCATTGGATTGGGTCTTTATTCAATTTGAGCCATTGGTTGATACTGTAGCTGTCAGCCCACATGGGCTGACATGATC